ATATAAATAAACTTTTCTTTACATTTGAGCATAGTTCAAGTAAACACAGACAACAAAGTAGAGAAATGGAGCAGAGTCTGCTCTCCAGAAGGGCAAGTGAAATCTGGTAGCTCAAGAAAACGAAGTTAATACAACAAGAATGAACACTTTCTGGCTTTGGAGAGCTGGTCAGATCTGGCTCCTCCTAGAATAATTTCTCTTCTATGTGTGTTATAAAAATGCTTCCTTAATGTACACATGAGTTCTGTTCTTTGGCTTCCACTGCTCTGTCCCTCTTACAGTGACTGATCAAAACAAGATTAAATGTATTAAGAAAATATTATAATGAACAAACCTGTCCCTGCAAGTTTGACTAAGAGTCTGAAACCTTCTGTAATGTCTGTGAATAATGACTTAAAACATTTATCTTCTTAATCATCATGAATTCTTAGCAAGAACTTTACCCAATTTTCTCCCACTCTTCATGCTCTTTTTTTTCCTCCCAATTCATACTCACACACTTAGTCTATGAAGCATTATCCTCAGCATTTCTGATTTTTGTCCATGGTACAGGCAATGGTGACAGAAGAGAATTGGCCATGTATTTTTCAAAAAACATCAGGTAGCTCTGGTCATTATGACAGATGGTACCAGTTTAACTTTTGTTCACAGCTGTCTTGTATTACTTTAAAGACTGGGGTGAAGGGGGAAACATCTTCTTTTATGGCAATCAGTTTGAGCACACTCAGGGAAAAAAGTTTCAGATACTTCGGAGCGTGGCTACAAGGAGTGCCTGGCAAGGAGCTGGGAGCCAGAAGCTCCTGTAGAGAGACGGCTGTGAGGAGCAGGAATAAGTCAGTCAGCAACCAGGTATGGAAAAAGCTTCCCAGGAAGCAAATTGGACCTGGCAGGATTTGCCACCCCTCAGAAACTCACCGAGTAAACTCACAAGTGGCAGCACACAAGCTCACCTGCAAGGACAAAGCGGGCTGAACTGTTCAGAAATCTCTTCTTAATTTCTAGTCTATTTCTATGATGTTCTGTAATTTCTACTAGTAGCAGCTTTGAGGTTGGGCTTTTTTTTTCCCCCGATTTAAAAAATAGATTTTAGTTTGCATTCTAGGAAGACCTGACCTTTCTGAGCGTAAAAGCCTTTTAGTCATCTCTGGGAAGCTTGCAACGGGAGAAAAATCAAAGCTTTGGAGCTGTGGCCAACACTGAATCCTCTCACAAGCACCAGCACTGCAAGAAGATAAAAGTTCTCATTTTCAGAGTGCTGGATCTTTATTCTGGGGAAGGCTTCTGTTACAGTATTACAAAATAGGCACTCACAAATTAAGATACTGAAAGCCACTTGTCACTTCTCAAAATTCTGTCTGTTCAGTAACTGCAGTGAAACCAAGAAACATTAAAATGCTTGATTCAAGCAAAAGAAAATCTTTCTTTGATGACAGAATGGTAAAGTAATATTCCCCCCCCCCTCTTTTTTTTTTCTTTCTTCCTAGTCTATTAGCTATCTGCTGTGAGGTTTGCTGGAGTTTGTTTCATTTATTGTAATGTTCAGTTGCAGAACTGTAGGAGCTAGATTTACTCCGATACTACTTCAGTTAAAATTTGGTGGCTTCTGGGGAGCCTTCTGTTTGCTTACATTTTTGTTGAGCTTTGCTTTTGGCGTTATTCCTGAAGCTGTTATCATGCCAGCAGTGCCTGCTACAATATCCTTTGCAACCTCTTTTCCCATTCTGGTGCATACAGTGAAATGGCAAAAAATGAGGGATTTTAGTTGAAGAATAAATTCAGCTTTTAAGCCAGAAGAAGAATCTACCTCTTCCTGTCTAAACCTGGTCTACGCGCTTCAGCTGGAGAAGTGTGCTAGAAAGGGATTTTCCCTTAAGTATGTCAGCCTCAACTTTTTGTGCTGTTCGGTTAGGTACTCACTCTGACAAAAAAATATGTGCAGATGCAAATGTGCGCCTTAATATGTGGGAACCAGATAAAATTAGAGCAAGATGTAGAAAACTAATTATTTTAGTTGCTATTCTTCCCTTCCTATTCAATACTTTTATCCACTCTCACATCCCCCAGAAAACATCCTTCATGTGGATGAAGCCCTGAATATACTGAAAACACTCTGCATAAGTCCTTTCTAGTAATATTTGTATTTGATGCATAATATTTAGTCTATCTTATTCTAGTTGAATGCAATCAGCTTTATACTTAAATTTGAAAAGGAAAGGTGCTTTTTTTTGTGAAAAGAAATATGTTTCTTTGCTTTCTTATATTAAAATAGCAAATTGTTTGATCCTTTTGGCCTTCAGTTTCCCCCTCTGTAGAAGACAGAACAAGGAACACTTTTCTTCTTGAGGCACGTTTTGAGGACACGCATTTTCACAGACTATGGCCTCTGCAGGACTGTCGCTTGCAAGCCTTCTTGTTCACATAAACTCGTGCTGCACGTGGCAGCAATAAGTGATGTTACAGAAGATAGTGGGAATAGATCAGTAGTTGTGAATTCAAAATTATCGATTGTTCTAATCAGTAAAAGATTTCATTGGATGTTTCCCTTTTTTGGTCAATAGCTCTAGCAAAAGTAAACATATTTCACTAAACTGAGAAGAGCTTAAATCAGTGTAAAATAACGATGCCACACAAATCTCTCACCTCTCATTTCAGCTTAACACTTAAAATGCCAGTTAGCTCAACTAGACAAACTACATTTAGGGACAGAGGCACTCAAGTCCCTTATATTAGACCAATAAACCATATGTGGGTGTCAGGCACCCAAGTACACCAACAGGCTCTAATTGCTGTGACCTGCCTGTAAGGATGTTTCTCTGTCATCTCCTGCCTCTTTTCCCTCTCTTGGAGCAGGGAACATTCTCTGTCATCTCCTGCCTCTTTTCCCTAGGGCTCTTGGAGCAGGGAACACAGCATCCTGACGAGCTGCAGTTAAAGTACTACAGGTAAAGGAATCATAGGCTGAAGGATGTGCTGAGAATTAGTTCATTCTGCAGACCTACATTTTGTCTCTCTCAAATATTTGCTTTTAAAACCACAATGCTATTACATATTTTTATGGAAAAAAAAATCCTAGTGAAAAAGGGAATTTTTTTTTACAGATGTTTCCAGATAACAGTCTCAAAAGCGATTGAAGCTCAGAAGGAAATGACATTTTGCAGTGTGCAATATATACTCTTCACTCCAGAAAAAAAAAAGTTACAGAATAAAAGTGATTTGCTGGCTTTGCCAAATAGCTTCCTGATGAATGACCAACGCTATAGGGAAGGATACACTTCTGTTTCATTATTAACTTTTTCCTAATTCCTAAATACAGAATTTTCCCCTCATTTTAAGTCTAAATCAGCATTTCATTTCACAAACTGACATCTTCTGGTTTGTTTGGTTTTTTTATACTATTTTATAACCTTAGTAGTTGAAAGTATAGTAGGTTTGTTAGAAATATTGCTTCATTTTCCAAAACACACAATCCGATACATGCACTGCTAGCATCTTATACTGAGGTTGTTGGAGCTTATCATCACAACTGTCAAGCTGTCACTCATTTGAAGTCCAGGTCAATAACCAGCCAAGTGAAAAGCTGTTTGACTTAAAATTATAAATAAAAAATAGCCAGTATGTTTCCAGTGCAGAAATATTATAAACTTTCCTCCTTTAAGCTATGAAAACCACACACGGGGATCTTTCAAGGGCAAACAAGTGCTATAAATGCAAAAAGCCTAAAAGCACTGCAGATGAAATACTGCCGCAGTATTCTGTGCGAAGCACTGAAGCACCCCACAGAAACAGTTAAAGTGAGCACGCTCTTTCTTTTTCCTCCTCACATCCACCAAATCCTTTCCTACATCTCCTTCTGATGGAGGGAGGCTAACACAGGGAACCAGGTGTTTCCACAGACCGTTTGTGGCTTGCTGTTCTGCCCTGTAGTTTCATAGCTCAGTGCTACTTGATTCTGCACTGACTTCTGTTTCACCGTGCCTATTCCTCCCCTGGGGCCGGGAATCCCCATTCCTCCCTGAGGCTTCTCTCTTACTGTTTCTAATCCCACTAGTCTAACCCTGGGGCATCTCCTTACGCTCAGCTCAGCTTCATGCCCTAAGGTCATGACTCATTTTGCAGATGGCGGTTTACATGTGAAAGGAGCTATGTGTAATTTCGGGTTTCATAGAAGAGAGTCAACTCTCCTTTACTGCCTCATCAATTTCCTGCATTGGGCCTCGGAGTGCAGCCTTCAGAGGTTTCCTTCCCCCTCCCACCCCGTAGCAGAGTCACACAAGCAGGTAAATGTGTCATCCCTTGAAGGTGGATGGCATTCATGGCTTAATCACTTCTCTCCTCTGCACCTCTCACTCCTCCCTTTCCCAGTTTGCAGAAAACAGGAATTTCCTTTGGTCCTCCCACTGCATGATAAAAAGCAGCTTGCTATTTCAGGGGAGAGGAGGGAAACCTAGAACAAGTTTTTGTCATGCTTGTTAACCGCTGCGTCACTGCAAGCAAAGATGACCATCTTAACAGGTGGCTTAAGATTTTCTGCTAGTAATACCACAGAAGCGTGAGTTTGAATCACTGTTTTTCTTCTTCTTTCTTCCTATTTATCTAAAAGCCTTTCTGACACTCCCAAAGATATTTGTCACCCACACCTCTGCTCATCCTCAGTTAAAGCAGAACCACCAAATGCAACAACCTAAAGAAACATCAGTGCTCTTAGGGTATGCAGTTTTGCGGATCTGCGTTATCCAACAGGCATAGCTGACTACGGAGGGTGGCACTTTGGATAATCAGTGGATGTAGTTGACCTTTTAAAGCACTACAAAACATGCCTTCGCATTCAGTCTTCCTGGTAACAGAAAGTAGCTGTTTCAGGAAAAAAAAAAAAAATTGTAGCAAGTTCATTGCATCATTTCAGAAATCAAAAAGTTTCATGCACAATCAAGTTGCCCAGGGAACATCCCCTGAATGTTCTTTCCTGGCAGATAAACATTGCAAAAGCAGACTGCATTTACCTTAAGGGAACATGAAGTTCTCTGAGCATTCGGACTCTCTTGGGCAACAGGTTCAGGGTCCTCACACAACTGGTAAGTGTTGTTCTTTTCTATCAGGTTCCTTATTTCGATATCAAGTTCTTTACTCTCACACCTGCTTAGAAAGAAATAACAGTGTTAAATTTTACACCAAAACGTGAAGCACAGAGAAGGTGAATTTGTCTTCTGAATGTGACAAGAGAGACAGCAGAGCTAGTCCTGCAACGAGCTCCTGCTCCCTTCTCCCTTGGTACACAGAGAGCACTAAAGCAGCGTCACACAGGCAATCTCTAAGTCCTCTGTGACAGAAATTAATTTAAAATACTTAAACAAGCAGTCTTTATAAATTTTACTACCTTGTGTATACAAAATCCAAGTCGACCCTTTTGGGAATTATATGAACACTGTCATGTGCCCTCAACCCCACCCACAACTTCAAGAATTTCAAATTCAACTTTATCAAAAATGCAACTGAAATGGTTAAATTGGTTTTGAACTCCAAAACTAGGTGCTCAGTTCACAAAGTTTTTTGATGGCACATTTTGTTTTCTGTAACACTTCATAATAGATACCTGACATGCATTTTCAATCTTTTTCCCTGAAAGTTCCTTTTAAAAACATTCATATCTTGTAAAAATTGCTCTGTTGTGAACACTAAAATGATATTCATTTGGTGGGAAAATAATTTTCTTTCAGTCTCTCTGCTGAGGACACACAAGACTTAGGCACACTTAAGGGCTTGCTCTAAATCCGCAGAACCAACTAACAATTAGGGCTGATTCACGCAATACACCATAATGGTGGAATGTGACTTTCAGAGAACGGACTGAGGCATAATTAAAACAAACCCCCAAAAGCCCTAGACCCAACCCAAGTTTTCAAGAAATACTCATGTCTTTTACAAGCTCAGACTTTCGTTTCCTAACCAGCTTAAACCAACTCTACATATAAGTAGTGCATGACCAGAAAGAAAGCTGCAAGGCTCAAAATTATTACCAACCTGTTATAGCAAGATCACTTATTGATTTAGGCAGAAAATACTAAATTCTTCAATTTGAACTACCAGGAAAACGGAAAGCAGTAAGAATTTGTCAGTTATACTTATTGCACTTTAGACAGGCAATCCACAGACACCTGCGCTGCAGGTTCTGAGAGAACGCTGGAAGAACAATAGATAAAATTATCCAATGAGCACACCCATCTATCCTAATCCTAAGAGTAAGTGTGGCAAACTTTATGCTGATAGCATAAAATGATGCATTTTATTCTTGATATTTACAACACAGAGACTATAACAGAAATGTATTTTCATTAAGCATGAATGTAAAATCATTTGCAGAGGTACTACAATAAAATGCCAACAGTAGCAAACAAGGACAAGTAAAACTCAAGAACTTTTTTTTGACTTGCCGCTTAGTAGTTGGACAAGCTGGAATTTCATGGTAGTTTCCAAGCTGCCACGAAGCCTGTCTGAACCAAACAATATCTTGTTTCATGGCAGAAACAAGATATTTGGAGGTGTTTCAAGGGCTAGACCTACAGCATAGGGAAACAGGACTTTTACACAAGGAACCAAGACTAGGGGGGGGAGTTTAGCACTAGAAGGTCCTGAAGTACTGGAACATATCACATCATTTTTCTTCTCGGCCGAAAGATATTTCTTTGTACTAATCTTTTGCTTTTTTTAAAAAAAAATAAAAATCAATATAGCAACTAGTGCGAGTTCAAAGAAACAGAGTACCCAACTGAAGAGAGTACTGTCTTTTGTTAGACCATTTTAACCAGCTGTAACTCCTTTCAAAGCCACGACATTTAAGACAAAGACCTTATCGATGCACATTTTCATGAACCTCACAGTGGTGCAGCAGGCTACAGCTGCTCTGAATGCTCATGGCAGTTTTTGAAGCCTCAGCTGCGTGTGGGTGGCAGGTGAGCCCCAGCAGCACGGGTGCCACGTGGCAGCTCGTGAAGAAAACTACAGAAGGAAACCAAGGAACCTTGCGAAAGAAATCCAGCCCTTTTGTGTCTCGCTAAATATTGCAAAATCTTGGATAGACCAGTGCGAGTGGCACTTTTTCTTTTTTAAGCAATTCTGTGCTAAGGTTCCCGGACAATAAATTCTCAAGCAGCAGCATGACCAAGCGCTCCGCTTATAGCCTTCATTTTGAATCAGCTACATACTGCAAACTTTGCAAGATAAGCAGCAACACCCCTTTTCTCTCAAGCACACTTCCCTGGAAAACAGCATCTTCAGCTCATTTGGACTCCTATGCCTGACCCAGCCTGAGATTGCTTTGCATAATGGAATTGGATATACACTGTGCAGAGCACTCGGTGAGGATGCTCAGAACTGAAAAGCCACAGCATGGAAGCAGGCGCTCACGGTGCAGTTTTAGGAAAAGTGCATGAAGTTATATTTACACAGTAAGAGCGAAATTATTGCTGCAGCCTCCTTAGAGCCCCTAGAAATGTGACAAAAGGAAGGGAGAGGTTAAGTAAAGTGAGGTGAAACGTTTTGTATTGAGGGATTTAGGACAGAGCTGCTAAAACCACAGGCCAATATTTTCAGACTGAGCTTTCAAAACTTCATTGTTTTATCTGTGCTTAGGCAACCAACCAAAGGTAGGCTAGTTGCTCTCCTCTCTCCTTGCTCCATGCTCCTCCTGCGTGAGAGCAGAAGAGCAACCAGCTTACTGCTTAGCTGAGAGAAAAGACTCTGACTTACAAGTGGGTTCTGGTAAAGGGTATTTTGCTCATTGCCCAGGGTTGCAGTCGCACATCCTGCTCCAGCTGCAGCAAAGCCAGCCAAAGAGTTTAACTCGTCTACAGCCCCAGCCACTTTTCACCTCCGCTACCTCTCTGCTGCAAATTACCATCGCCAACTGCTAGCACAACCCACTCACTTAGCTTGGTCAAACTACTCAGGGTTTCCTTAAACACTTTTACAAAAAATAAAGCAGCTAAAAGTAAAACAACTGTTCAAAATAAAGGAGCAATGTCTAGGTGCTGTCCTGAGGACAGCAAAAGATGGGCAGCAATCTCTGGCAGGAGAGCAGCAGCATGTATTTAGGCAGGCTGCACTCATCTCTGCTGCTTTCAGCCACAGCGAGAGGAGACGTGTGACCACAGCCTCCTGAGATCAGAGTGTGAATCAAGCTGGGAAATACCCCATAAAGATGGTGGGTTGGCTTGAAAGATTTTTTTTTTTCAGCCAGGAAGTGTTCATTCCTCTGCTCTGCTTGCCACTGTCTGTCTGACACTGTGGCTGTAAATGATGTTCACCTCCAGCTGCTCCCACCCTGCATCTCTGCATTCTCCTTTCTGGGCTTCGAAGCACCTGGGCAAGAGCAGGAACCAGCTGTGCCTGGGTAAAAGAAAGGGAACCGCAAAAGACTCAAATCCCTACAAATCGATTGCTACCCTGTAATATCCGTGTGTTTCAATTTTCTGACTTCTGTGATGATGTTACTTCATTGACTGGATTTCTCAGTGCACTTGGTTTTCCCTCAGTTTTTAGACCAAGGTCTTCTGACTGGAAACTATTTCTCTGTTTACCTGTATTTTAAGATTAGCCACTTTGATAATTGGAAGGATATTTATTGTGATGTAAAACGTTAATCATATCTGGCGTATAGATCCATCTTACAGTCCAGACTTTCAGAGAACACAGATGATCTGAGTGCTTGAATACTTCTTCAAGGGACTGGTGACTGGGAGCTACCCCAGGGCAAGCCAGTTCTTGATGACTACCTGCGCTTCCCCCGGTGAGCTCTAGAGGGCACACAGCATTTAGCTTCTGCAGAAAGCAATTTTTTCAAAACTACTTTTGATTTTGTGAGGTTCACATGTACGTTTCTACACAATTAATACCCTTACTGTTCTATGCTGTTGCCAAGATTTTCTAAAATTAGGGATTTCGGGTTTTAATAATTAAAGTATGCAAACAGCAATATGTTCGAGAAAAATTAAATCCATTCAAATTTGGGATACATAGTATTTTATGTTTTGTAAAATCAATCATCACAGGATATTAAAAGCATTTTCATGTGGTCATACGGGACAAAGTACATTCCTTCTATGTGCAAAAGCTTTCTAAAGTATACAAAGATATAAAAAATACACAACTCGTCCTACTTACATAGCATATTATGCTTAATGCAGAAGCCAATAAAAGATTAAAATATTAAGTCCTTTTGCAAATGTTAAGGTGGTTGCTAAATTGCCTTTTTTTTGGAAAATTAAGATACTTCACATGGAAGCAGAATCTACAGATGTGACAAAGGTGGTCTCCCAGCATAAGTTTTAGCAGCTTGTAGGAAACAACTTTACTCATAATTTTTGTGTCACATCTGAAAAGAAGTAGCCAATATCCTGCTAGCCATGTCCTCCAAGAATAAGAAATTAGGTCTGTTCTCTTTGGTTTGCAAGTTGCCATAACCATGCAGGATTTCACTGCTAGAGACTAACTGTGCACCACATAAAAGATATTTTCATTTCTCCCATATATTCACCTAGCTGCCTTTTAAATAGTTTTCACTTTTGGCTCTATAGTACCTCTTTGTGCCATTTAAATATCTAGGCTCTATCAGTCTTGTGTAATTCGTTATTTATAAATGGTTGCATACTTTTTACAGCAATTCGGCTTTTCAGCTGGGAGCCAGAACAAAAATTGTGCCCAGCACATGCTTTGTATGTGAATGGGACTGAAATTCCCATGCAGATCAATGGCACCCTGCTAAATAAACCACGCTGGTCTGTCTGCCCTCACAGGGTTAGGCAATTCCCCTCTGTCTGCCCTCACAGGGTTAGGCAATGAAGTGCTGGTTGTACACGCACAGGGAATTTGATTAAATTAAGCATGTAATTGAGCCAGATCAAAACCTATCTTTGGCCCAAAACTATCACTAAAGCCAGAATATGATGGCACCAGAAAGGCAGACTGAGGCGTGGACACCAGTGGGTTCTAACAGTGTCAAGGGCACTCCTTGCAGTTCACCTTATCCTGGTCAAGAGAAGAAGCAGAAGAGAGAACAACTCCCACTAATACACATTTTCATAATGGAGCAGCAACCAGTTCAGCTCCTGATGGCCTGCCCCATACTCTTTTGATAAGCCACGAGCTTTGGGCTTGTGGAAGCATAGATTGATGGCCAAGAAATACATGTTTATCAAATAGCCAGGTACAAGCCCCATGCAGAGTCCCAGCTCTGCAGCTGGTACCATTTGTGAGCTCTCGGCTCTCCCTGGCTTTCACTGGGAACTGGCATTATTACTTACTAATAGCAGTTATACGGCAACAATGGACATACCTACAACATGTCCCAAGGCATTTATTGCAAAATATTAATACTGAAGGTATATAACTCTATTTTAAATAATAATTTGAAGGCTGGTGTGTTGGCGGGATTCTCCTGTGATTGGTGAAAGCACAAATACACACCATAAACGATTGTGAAAAAAGGTTTTAAGCCAGAATTTACAGCCAGACGCCAACACCACAGAGTCATATTTTGACGGGAAATGAATTCCAGAGTCTAGGGGTTAAACACACGCTTCATCCCCTTGGGTGGGCATTTGGGACGT